AAGCTCAATTTTTATCTCTTATTCTACCCAAAAGTTCAATTGAGGAAATGGTTTCTCTGGTTAAAAATAATTCAAGAATCACCTATGTAGCCAAGACCTCTCTTTTCATAAGGGAGTAAAATGAATGCTAGGGCGATTAGGGAATTCCTAACTTAGTGTTGGATCTGGAACCAGACCTTGGGTCAGTCACATCTTTCTCTCCAGTGCTCTTCCTCACGGCACTATGCTGTCTTCTTACTCTTGGGGAGCAAATCAGGTGAGAATTCCCACACCTTTGGATTTGGACCTTTTGTTTTTATTTTTATTTATTTATTTGCTTTTGTTTTTGAACAACCATAAGGAAAAAATACCAAGGAAGCCAAATTAGTATGAGAAGAGGCATAAATGTTATGTTGAAAGTAAAAGCATAATCTTCAGTTGCATTCCTTTGTCTATATTGTTTCCAGTCACACCGAAGAATCATATCATCAGCTAGCACCTGAAGGGGGTCATGAAGGAGGGTAGAGAGGCCTAGTTTCATTTTCTTATGTCACCAAATGTATTGCTGTTAAGATTGAGAGAAGTAAAGATTTCAGTAGGATACTTGGTGAAAACTTGCTGACATTAATGACTCAAATTCTCAGAGAGACTGCAAGGAAAATGGTGTCATCACTGTCATTCAAGACATTTAAGATGAAATTTCAAAAGGAGGCTGTCAAGCATAATGACTGCCAGGTTCTATTATATCATTCTCAGAGGGTGGATCACACACACTACTATTCAGCCTATTCAGCCTGTAGGTGGTTGATATTGAAGTTTGAAAGGAAGATGCAGAGAGGAGGTGGGGTGGGGGCGTAAGACCCAAGAGGGGCTGCTTCAGAACCCGGACACATCACCGTTGACATTCTCATGGTGACTTGGGGGTAAATCTATGGTCCAGGCCTGGTTTTTAGTCCTAGATATGCTGAGACCTGGCCCATCAGGGCATTTTTGGCAAGATCATGCTCTTGGTATGGAACAAAATTCAGGAGATTTGAGTTATAAACAGTAGCACCCATTTATTAATTTATAATAAGAATATTCCCCTCTAGTGCCTGGATGTTCATGTTTGCATGCACTGCAGGATCGAGATGCCTACAAGGCCTAGTTAGTGATTAGGAGGCAGCTGTGTGAGAAGAGCCCCAGTTTTCAACATTGACTGTCCACTGCAATCACCTAAGGTATTTTAACACTAGGCCTCACTCTAAAATCAAATAAATCTGAATCTCAAGGAATAGGATGCGGGCATTAGTATTTTTAAAATCTCCTCAAGTGATTCCAATGAATGCCCAAGTCTGAGAACCACTGGATTCGAGTAGAGGCCATCCATCCAGTTACCATGAGCCAGAGAACTCATCCTTTCCACACGACGGTCCATGCCTTTGCAACCAGTGGGATGTTGAAACTTGGAACAGATAGGCTTTGCAATTTTTTAATTTGCCAAGTAAGGATATTAAAAGTTCAACTATTATTATCTCATTAAAGAAGGGATTTTTTTAAAAAAAATCAGATTTATCGTTCAAAGCACAACCCTAAGCCAGCTGTTCCTCTGCTCAAAAACTTTTTTTTAAAGATTTTATTTTATTTTATTTTTTCATGAGAGACACACAGAGGCAGAGGAAGAAGCAGGCTCCATGCAGGGAGCCTGATGCAGGCCTCGATCCCAGGACCACAGCATCATGACCTGAACTAAAGACTCAACCACTGAGCCACCCAGGTGCCCCTCAAAAACTCTCTATAGCTGGGTATTTGTCCCCTGAATGAAGTCCAACTTTTTATAGCCGCATCAATGACCCTCCATGATTTGATTCTGGCTTACCTGTCCTGACTCGTCCCCCACGTCCCTTCATGCCCTAACCTGGGCAACCAGCCTTCATGTCCTCAAGGCTGTGGCTCTTTTCATCCCTCTACTGAGAAACCCAACATGCCTGCCTTTCATTCCCCACAGAACCTGCTACGAACCCTTCCCCGCTTCAAGAAATTTTAAGAACAAAAATTAAGGACACAATTTTATGATAAAAGAACTCACTATGTTATATTTCTTTTGCTCACGTTTCTCCAGATCCCAGGAAACGTCACCGACTGATGCACACAGAAGAACTGGTGTGATCGAACTGCTCTCTACACCCAGAGGCAGGGCTTTTTTTCTTGGACCTCTCTACACACACGTGGCTGGGTCTGGTTCATGAATCCACTGTCCTGTGTCAATGACTCCTCTCTTACCATGTCCTTTCTGTAGACGTACTAACAATATCGATTAAGTTGTGATTTCTGCTCCCAGGCTTGGAAGTGTTCGGTCTCTTCCAATTACAGAATATGTTGATTTAATTAGCATAGCTCTTCTCAGACATCTTACACTAAGGTTTCGGGACGGGGTGCAGCATGTGCATCCCCAGATAACTATTTACTGGGGCCATCGCTGCTCCCTTGTTTTGCTAGTGGACAATGATGGCAATTATTCTAAATCCAGTGGAGACTTCACTGGGAAAGCAGATAACCTGTGGTGAGTTGCTTATTGTGTGTCTCAAGGGCCATGACATAAAAAACCAAAAACTTACCTATATTGTAAACCTAATTTTGGGTGCCCATCTGGAATCTAAGGTGTGTTCTCTTCCTCTGTGGTCATGGTTAGTGTTGCCCCCTTTTTCCTTTGAAGGGACATTGGTATTTGGGGATCAGTTCTATACTTGGTTGTCTTTTTTTTTTTTTTAGATTTTATTTATTTCTTCGAGAGAGAGAGAGAGAGAGAGAGAGAGAGAGAGAGGCAGAGATATATACAGAGAGAGAAGCAGGTTCCATGCAGGGAGCCCAACATGGGACTCGATCCTGGGTCTCCAGGATCACGCCCTGGGCTGAAGGCAGTCGTTAAACTGCTGAGCCAATCAAGGGATCCCTTGACTGTCTATCTTTAAGAAGACAGACTTTGGCACCTAATTTCTCTTAAGCTGACATGCTTAAGGTGGATCAAGAGAATAGAGACAATATGTGCTTTTGACCAACTGGGAAAGTTCTGTTCGCAGATGTCGATATTCTCTAAGCACCAAGATACACAGTGAATAATGGGCTACTCTGCCTTTATTACTCCCAGGCCAACACAACCCTAAATGAAGAGCTTGTCTTCTCAAGGCCAAGGATTTTGCTTAGAATAGCGCATAAACCTCAAAATTAGAAGACCCAGATTTGAGAGCTGCCTGGGTGGCTCAGCCGGTTAAGTGTCTGACCCTTTGTTTCAGCTCAGGTCAGGATCTCAACTTCGGGAAATGGAGCCCTGCATCAGGCTCTGTGTTCAGCTCAATGTGGAATCTGCTTGAGATTCTCTCCCCTCCCTCTTCCTCCTCCTTTCCCTTACCCTCTGCTCCTCCCCCTGCTTGTGTTCTAATAAATAAATAAAAACTTAAAAAGAAAAGAAGAAGATCCGGATTTGAATACCAGCTCCAGTACTCTCTTGGGCAAGTTGCTTGGTCTCTCTGAGCCTCAGTTTCCTATCTATAAAATGGGGAGATCATTTCCATTCACCTTTCTCATCATTTTGTACGGTAATTGTGAGGACTAAATAAGATGATTTAGGTAAAATACTTAACAATGTACTATACATACCAAGTTCTCACTAAAAGTTAACTTTGTATGTCAGAGCCTAGCACAATAATGTGGCATATGATAGATATCCAACATACATCACACACACACACACACACACACACACACACACACACAACCTGTATCTGCAGAAGGAAAGATCTCATTGAGAATATTGAGTTAAAAAGCTGTTATGGGGCACCTAGTGGGCTCGGTCGGTTGACCATTGACTCTTGATTTCGCTCAGGTCATGATCTCAGGTCATGAGGTAGAGCCATGCGTAGAGCTCTATGCTCAGTGGGGCGTCTGCTGAAGATTCTCTCTCTGCCTCTGCCCCTCTCTCCAAATAAGTGAATAACATCTTTTTTTAAAAAAATAAAGAGCTATTACTAAATTCTGGACTTTAGTTTTCAGATCTTGACAATGTAACCGGACTCATTTTGCTATTTAATCTTGCTCATGACTTTGTCTCTTGTCTCCCTAACTCATGATTTCTGCTGGGATCCTTGCTTTTCTGTGATGAATTCTTAGAGCCGGCTATCTGAGCACAATCTCTTCTTTCCATGACAATGCTCTTGTCTTCTTTATAGGTTCTGATACTTCTCAGACCCAGAACCTCATTTCCTTGCTATAGTCCTGAAGCAGCCAAGCGTTGTGAAGGAAAGCTTTTAGAAATCTAGATATTTGCACCTGGGTGCCAGGAAAAATTGGAATCGACTTCTCTATTGACGCACTGATTCTAAATCATGGATCTGGGAGAAAAGAAGTTAGGATGACAAGCCCTGACGGTTGGTCTACGGCACCCACTTCAGTTTGAGATTTTATCCTGCTACAATGAACATTTTTCAAAATCAATTAATTGCCAATAAATAGACATCGGATCATCCTCTGTCCAAACTCCTCTTCAACCCCCCACCAAAAACAAAAACAAAAAAAATATGTCAATAAATGAGCTGCTCGAGTGGCTGAAAATTTACCATCAGAGCCAAGCCTTTTTCTGAAAGTCTCAACTCACCCAATCAGACAAAAGCCTGGGGAAAGGGGAGGCATTTATCAAGTTACAGGGAGGATTCCATCTGCTATCTTAGACCTTTGTTACCAAGTGACACAAGAGATACTCGAAGGCAGTGTGAACGCTCTGTTTCACAGATTCTTAGCCCAAAGATTCCAAATTAGAGAGAAGCAGCAGCAGGAGGAAAGGAGAAAAGTCAAGGAAGTGTGATGAAGCAGCCTCCATCCTCCAGGCGTTCTCCTGGCCAGAACCACCGACGCCGGTGAGGGTGCCTATGGGGCTGGGATCTGTCCTTTCAGCCACTCTAATAAATGCAGCCAAAGGGCCAGTCACTTCTCATCAGTCACCAAGGTCTCGTTTCTGAACCTCACCTTCACAGAAGCCATCTCTCATCATGCCAAACCAACAGAAGAAAGTCGTTTTTTGCACAGCTGGGGTGCTAAGCTTCGTGTGCGCCCTCGGAGTGGTGACAGCCCTGGGGACACCGTTGTGGATCAAAGCCACCTTCCTGTGCAAAACGGGGGCTCTGCTGGTCAATGCCTCTGGGCAGGAGCTGGACAAGTTCATGGGTGAAATGCAGTACGGGCTTTTCCACGGAGAGGGCGTCAGGCAGTGCGGGTTGGGAGCCAGGCCCTTTCGGTTCTCACGTAAGTAACAGTTGCATTTGAATTATTTAATACTTTAGGCGTACTCTTTCCACGGTTGCAAGGGATCTTTTTAAGAGCCTGGCCCTGTCTAGTACAGGCCTTCTAAAACAGACACGAACCTTTGGAAATGCCCAGGTCTTTTCCAAGCAATTTCCTCTCCCTGGTTTTTATGATTTTGTTTTTATTAATTACTTCATTCTGTTTTTATCATGACAGCATATGGTTAATGAGCCGCTATGGAATTCAACTTTGAAAGGATAAGCAATTTAATTCTGAAACATCAATATTTATGCTAGAAGTTTTGGTGTCATTTTAAAAGGGGAGAAGCAACTTAGAGGAATAGCTATGAGAGACGAGCTTCATTTTTTCCTTAAAAAAAAAAAAAAAAGAATCAGCGTCAAGGGCTCAGTAGCTGCTTTTCCACCTTGCTCATGACTTTGTACCCTGTCTATCTCTGTATGATCTCTGCTAGGACCTTTCCTGCTAATATTCTTGTTTGTTTGTTTGTTTTTTGTTTCCTTTTTTAACCAATTTGAATCACTTGGCCATAGAAATGTAAAATGATCTGCTATGCTAACTGGGAAAGAAATAGATGCCTATTTAGTATAGAAAATTTGCAACTGATTGACCTTCAAATCATGTAGGTACTATGGGATAGATTTTCCTGTTCAATTTTTGTGAAATGGAAGTGTTACCCACAGTATTTATAACCTGTTTATCTTAAGAAGGGAATTTTTAAAAATTACCATGTGAATAGGCAACTCATTAAATGAAAATTAATAAGAAGCCATTTGTTATATCTCTCACAACACACATTCAGAAATTATTATTATTTCAAAAGGGCTGGTTTGGAACAATCTTACGAAGAAACAGCCAGTAAATTACTGCATAAATCACTCTTCAGGAAAGGAGGTTACCAATTGAGGCATTTAAAATGAATTATTATTTGCCTGGGTATTTTTTTTTCTCTAGCATAGGTAGAAAGCTAAATTAATTGAATTTATTATTAACCTATGCGGTGTCTAATTAAATTTCAGTGCTGGCCTATTTCTATTTCTGCAGCATTCCTTGTATCTTCTTAACAGTCATTGGACACCAGCCTTCACTCACGTTGGTTATTAGGTGATATGAATTGTCACAGGGCTCCACAAAAATCCCCAAGAATTAGTCTTCAGCTTTTCAAAAAATTATCATCCCTAGATTTGATGAAATGAATACCAACTCTTTTCACTGAATGGCTTTAGTTCATTAAGGTAATGGGGCTGTTAGAGTTGCTTCGCTTTCCTTAGGGGGGGAAGAGAACAAAGCAGACTATCACATGATTTGCAACTGTATTAAAAAATAAAAAAGGAAAAAAGATGAGTGAAATGATTTAACCATGAGTCATTGGCAGCTAAAGCGCGAGTAAAGCTTCTCACAAATGAGTTTAGACAAAAGCAGGGAACAGACAGTGAATTTTCAGGAGCTTTTGCATTTGGTACAGTGAAATAGAGATGAACTTTACTCATACCACAGGACAGGTTTTGAAACAATACGTTCTCCGAAAACTTACTAGACACTACACATATTTTGTCTTATTTAATCCTCACACAGCTACATTCCTCAGCAGTTTGATGCGTGACTTTTTTATTTATGTGTGTGTTCTCTGCTGGCTCGGTCTGGGATGCAGTTGTTCTAATCAGGTGTCCTTCCCTTTGCTTTTGTGAGGATTCAGAGTCAGGTGAAGGTATGGTTTAAACCCCACTATCACAGAATTTCATTCGTCCCTATGACACTCTGAACATTTTCCCCCCAGCCTTGTGAAGAAGATCTGACATTTGTTTGTTGGTTCTGTAACGACAGCCTCTCTATAGACCCTCTCTAGGTGCTGGGCCTGTCAAAGCCTCATTAGTTTCAATGAGACCTAACAAGGTGTACTTACAATATCACTTTTTCTGCCTAAGCGTAGAAGTATTTCTTTCAGTGGAACAGAAGAGAAAGTGGGGAAAACTGAATACATCCAAATGATTCCCAAAAAGCATAATGTTCATTTAAATAAACAGCTTCCACACCACACCCTCCAAGTTTACACTCGTATTGCAAGATAGCTTCGTGGTCCATATCTTCCCATTTGAAATGCCGTCACCCTTCCAGCGATGTTCTAACAGCGTATTCTTGAAGGAAGGGAGCCCTCTGATCATCTCCCCGAGAGAAAAGTAGAACTTCATTAATAGAAGAGAAGGAGAGGCCTAACCCCGTTTCTCAATAATAGCACCCTTTGAGCAAAATCCAGGACCCTCAAATTGCTCAGGGAAGAAGATTTTCTATTTCTTGGGCCCAACTTATTATTAGGGCCCAACTCATTTCCCAGAATGTCCTCCTTTCTCGTTTTCCCTTTAGAAGGTTATGAAGCAAACATGTGGATTTTAAGAAACTTTCCAGGGTAGGAGGACTGGAAAAGGCAACTCATCAAAGCCTCAATCACTTCATGGCCAGTTTTCTTCATGTTGTCGTGTTATTGTCAGTTGATATGAATTTACATTTCAGTTCTGCGGAATGGCTAAATGCTACTTTGCTTACCAAAGTTTTCACTTAGATCAGTATTGGTCAACAGAAATACAACACGAGCCAAAAAATGCAAGCCGCATATGAGAAGCTTTAAAAGGTCTAGGAGCTGTATTAGAAGAGTAAAAGGAACCAAGTGAAATGAATTTTAATGATCCATTTCTTTTTTTTTTTTAAGATTTTATTTATTTATTCGTGAGAGACACACAGAGAAGCAGGCTCCCTGCAGGGAACCTGATGTGGGACTCAATCCTGGGACTGCAGGATCAGGCACTGGGCTGAAGGCAGGCGCTAAACCGCTGAGCCACTCAGGGATCCCCTGATCCAGTTCTTTATCCCAAGATATCCAGATGCCATTTTAACACGCAGGCAACGTAAGATATGAGATATTTTACCTTTTGTTCTTTTTTCTGATGCTAAGTCTTTGAAATCTAGTGTGTATTTTACACTTACAACCCCTCTCAATCCAAACTAGCCACATTTCAAATGCTCGCTGGCCATTTCGGTGTGGCTAACAGCTCACAACCGGACAGCGCCGATTTAGCTAGAGATTTACTCTGAGTAAATTGGGCATTGACCGTGTCCATATCCATATTCTAAATGAATTTCTGCTTGGTTCTGCCGTACAAGTTTACGTGTTATTTTTATGGGGAATGCATGTGTCACTTCTAAAACCCAGACACATAGTATAACATGAGGATAAAGAATGGACCAGAAAGATAGTTAGGCAATGTTGTCATGTTTGTTCCTATTAAATGTTCCCTGTTGACCACTCCATCTCTTTTAATTATAACAAGAATCTTCTCTGCCAGCATGCACAGTTATGCTGGGAAAACGTTTGCCTCGTTTACTCTGGCTGATTCTCATCCATTTATGGGTCAGCGCTTCATTTTCTAGAGGTCACTCGCATTCATACCTAGCGGACAATTTCATTCGTTATAATGAAGGACTGTTTTCCTTTCAAGGAAACACAACTGGTGGGCTTAATTTTTCCTGATATGTCACCTGTGAAATTTTAATGATGCTGTTTAAACTCTAACTGTAGCCATCAAGACAAAAAACTGCCGGTTTTGAGCTTGGTATGTGTGGGTGGGTTTCCGTCTTGGTGGTTTGAAACACCGCAGAACATCAACTATGATACCCAAGAATCATATGGTATCAATCATTCCTAGATATGCTGATCTATTTATTGCCAAGATAGTTCAATGAGCTGGTAAAAACATATGGAGTGTGTGTGTGTGTGTGTGTGTGTGTGTGTGTTTGAAACGTGAAAACTAAAATCTAACCAATCGTGTGTCACAGCTTACAACTTTAGTCATGCTTCTAAAGCATTTTAATTGGGACCTTATGATTGAAAATGTGTTAAAAAAGCTTAACAGAGATTTAGCCTACTTTATATTTTTAAAAAGCAGGCTTTCTTTACCAAATGAGGTACCTCACCCAGATTACACAGGGGATGTTGAAACTACTTGTGTCAGCAAGCAGGTAGCTTCTCAAACATATTTTGGGGTAGAATAGTTGAGACTGGGGTCTTTGCCACCACCACCGAGAATTGGCATTGTACCTCCGTGGTCTCCGGTGAGCGTGACCCCGCCACCTGCCCTGTCACCATCCGGCACATCCTCTTCTCTGCTGTCACCCCAGGTCTTTAGGTACCCTTCTGATAACACCGCCTGCCCTTCCTCCCTTCCTTAATGGGTGGTCTAGTTGGAGGGGAACCTACAGAGTTGACCAGGGAAGACTGATTCCCTGGTGGGAGGAGGGGGGAAAGATGGTCTCGTCATTTCACCTAGTTAATGTGGGCCTTCCTGCCTTTTAGCTCAGGATCCTCTTGTCTAGTCTCACTCACCCATTCAAATAGTCCAGCACATAGAGATTTTGTTTTCCTTCCACTGGGGGGGGAGGGAGGAGGTAATTGTGGGATAAAAGATAGTAATGGTTGAGGAACACTAACATGAAGAGAAAAATCTTCAACTTCTCTCAGCTAAATAATTGTCTCCTACTTTGTCCTTCGCTGACCTTGATGTTTACTCTGTTATTTCAAGTCACCTTGGATTATAAGTATTTGAGAATGTGTATTTCTCTGCAAGGAGATCCTGAGGCCTCAGAATACCCAGGGGCTGGGTATTATTCATTCTAGAACTCCCTCAAGCAGGACCGAGCACAGCGCATGTCACAAAGAGGTGCTCAATAAATGTTGGGTCAACAGACACTATGGAGGTCTGTGTTCCTCACTGGGGATTAGACTTGGAACAAATCACATTTCATTGGTTTTCCGTTCTTGCATCTGTAAAATGGGAGGTGAAACTAGGTGATTTTAACATTTCTTCTAGTTCAAACCTTTATGATCTATATATAATGAGGGGGCAGCTGTCCTAGACAAGGTCCTTCCAGCTTTAAAATCACTTGACCTTCTGCTCCGTCGCTTGAAGCCTCTGCTGACAGATTCCAGCCAC